GAAATAGTTGGTTTGTTGCAAAAAAGATAAAATAAATAGTTGGTTCTATTTACCGTTTCCCATAATCAATTTGATTTCTATTGGTTTTATATGTTTACAAATGATGTTGGTACATTTGGCAGCTCTTCATATGTTGTTGCAGTGTCACCTTCCAAGGTGGAGGTCCCATGAAATATTCTTGTCCTTGTTGGGTTTGTGGAAAAGGTATCATGGATCGAAGTTGTTATCAGTGTTCTATCTGCAAGTTTACGGTGGATCTAAAATGTGTTAAGAATCCACCTCCTACTACTCTTGTGAGTCTCAAAACCCATAAGCATCGTCATGCCAAGATTGATGTCTTTTACTTGTAACGCATGTGGCAAGCGTGGGGATCAAAGTCCTTATGTATGTCTTGAATGCAATTTCATTATCCATGGAGCATGTGTCATATTCGAGATGTGCAACCAATACATATGTATGGGATGGAAGAGACACTGAAGGAGAACCCGAAGAAATCGAAGATGTTGCACCATTCAAGGTAATAGGTGACAATTTAATAAAGCATTTCACTCATGAAGAACATGATATGAAGCTTATAAAAGATGGTCTTGATGGGAGTATAAAGAAACCAACATAAGCTGCATAGAACCCTATCAGTGGTGCTGAAACATTTTACAAATGTATGATGCAATGTGATTTCTTTCTTGACGAAAGATGTGCAAACCTTCCACGCATGAAACGGCATTTGTTGTTACCAGATAAGTTTGTTCTAGTCGGAGGTGCGTCATATTTCCAAGACACCTATTGTTGTTGGGCATGTGGGCGTTACTCAAGTGGTTTCAGGTACAAAAACGGTCTTTCTCAAGTAGATCTACAATGCATTTCGGTTTCTGAGCCACTAAAACGTGAAATTCACTACCATCCTCTATACTACACTTCTCGGAAAAAGTTGTCAGCGAGTTGTAGCTTTTGCAATATAAGAGTACATCATGGGTTCGAATGTCTTGATGATAGTAATTGTGGGTTCTATTTGCATTTCACTTGTGCCCTTTATCCAGAAAGGGTGAAGCACAAGTCAGATGATCATACGCTTCGCCTATGCTATCAAGAATATAGACATGGCAATTACTGGTGTGATATTTGTGAGAAACAAGTTAGTTTCTTCACAAGATACTATACATGTGTTGAATGTGGAACAACTTTTCATATTCTTCTGTTGAGTTAGAACCTCTGCTATTTTGATCAAGTGAAAAAGCAACTATCAACTATCAGTGTTAGAAGAAAACAGAATAAGATATGGAGGTGATCATTCATAATCTAAATTATGAAGAATCAAAACCATAAAACATCTTCTGTTATTAAAACTCAAAACTCGAAGACTAGTTTCAAGAGCACAAAATTGAAACTCAATCCCGTTAAAAGAAGTATAAAATAAAAATGAGATGAATCTTGATGGTCAGATCAGATCAAAACTGTATCTGTTCGAGGCCTTGTAAGTTGGAGTAGCCAAGCCTTAGACAGCTTCTGCGGTTTCATGCTTCTTCTTGTCGGAATCTTTGTCTTTGCGACAGCGGAAGTGAAAAAACTGAAGCAGAATCTGAAACAAAGAGATTACAAAAGATTATAAAGGAAAACATCAACAAGAGAATAGATCATGATAAGTGATGAGAGTGAGAATGTATACAAGAAAATCAAGCACAACACATCCTCCTGCATCAACAAGCCATGGTAGGTTCGGTGCGAGTTTTATCGGTTCGATGCTGTTGACAAGTATGCTGCAACAAAAACAAAAGAAGGGTAGCAAAATGGGGTTTTATTTCCACCGAAGATTCTTTAGAGTCGAAGCAAGTAAAGAGTATTGATTCTTCTTCACCTTGCAACATAAGTCATATTGCCAACTAATGCGAAAAAGAACATCAATGGATTCAATCCCTGCAATTACAAAAGAAGAACATCAAACGGATTCATCAGATACAACACTGTTACTTGACTTTAGCCTTGCGCCGTGTTGATTCTACATGCTTACCTCAACATGTCCTCTCCTCATCTGCAAACAAAAGATATCGAAAAGGAACTTTGATTTAGCTATAAGTGCTATAAATGATAGATCGAAGAAAACAAATAAATTATAGAAGACTAAAAAAGCTTTTTACATTGAGACATATTTGGGGAAGTCTTCCACCCATGTAAATGGCTGCCATTGCCCAACCCAACAACATTCCAATTTTGCTGTTTTCTCCACCGTGATTTTCTTTTAAGTTGCCGCTAGTGACCTGAAATTAGAACAAAAAATTTCACAATTTACAATTACATGGAAGACTGTAAACTCGAAATGCACAAACTAATTCGCAACTTTTGAGTACCTGCAAAAGTTTTCTTGCTGCTCGAACTACAAATACTCGATCTCTCTCTCCCAAAGCCATAGTTCTTGATTCACTTATCAAATTGGGAAGGTTGAATGTTCCAATAAAGAAGAACGCCGAGACCTATAAGAGAGAAATCAAATGTATAACAAAGAAAGAGTTCAACAACGAAACCACATGGAATTGGCAAAATCAAAACCAGGCAATGTGAACAAGGGCTAACCACGCATAGCATCGATTTGGTGGAAGGAGGCAATGAAGGAGGTGTGGCATCCTCAGGAAGCAAGGGCTCTTCAAGAGTTGGTTCACTGTGACCACGAGCCATTCTCTGAGCTAAGACAGATCCAGCAGGTGGCGTATGACTACTCGACAAAGATCTTGCAGAACTGACAAAATCAAAACCGCAAAACAAACCTTTGTAACTAATTTCTTGGTTATAAATATTTAATTTCATGAACTGAACAATAATGAATCTAAATGGCGTCCTTACGTGTAAAATAGTTCTTTTCCGGTAAAACTATTCCGATGACTCCCAGGAATTATAGTAATAGGTGTGGTTTGACCATCACACGGAATAGTATCATTCTTCCATCTGCCAGCAATTTTCGCATCATTGCTTATGTTTGATATACGTTCTGCTTCAATCTAAACCAAACCATACATATTCAAGCCATTTTAGTATCTACATACAATCAAGAGCCTTGAAACAGACTAAAGAATACTAACTGAATAAGCATAAACCATGAATGAAAACTATATACCATCTGATTTCTCCTGTTTTTCAACCGCGGGTAGATATGGCCGTAATATATAGATTGAACATAGAGAACTGACGTAGTCACTGTATACAACTGCAAACAAATCAAACACATCAGAGAAAATAAAACTAAAAAAACAGATTGCAAATATAGAGCTGCTTCAACTCTTCTGTAACTTACCAGTGCCATATAGAATTGTGTTGGAAGCTGCAAAAGGATATTCAAAAACTCAAGAGTTAGCTAAAGCTACTCAAAGTAAGATAACAAGACATCGAGTAAACTCAGGTTCCGAAGATTCACTTACAGTAGCAGGTTCCATCAAACAACCAAGAAGATTAAAGATATCCCTACACAACAAACCAATCTAAATCAATTTTACTCGAAGAACATGTAAAAAAAAAAAGCAAAAGAAACTTGACTTGCTTTCGATCATATATTTACCCGATTATCCACGTCGTTAAGAAGGCAATAGAGAGACCTTCAGTGGATTTCTCACTGTAATTAGTCATAATCTGTGGTATCTCTGCAACACCCCAACTAATAACACTAATGACACCAAGAGATAATGACAATCCATCTCTAAAACTGCTATGGAGAAGAAACATTGTCTTCAATTCCAAAAGAAAAACCTGTTAAAACCCAAAAACCAAACAAGTCTCTGAATGTGCAAAGATATATAAAAAGGTTTTTGATTGTTGAATACTACAAAGAGGAAGCTAGAAGATGAAATAGGAGGAAAGAGTTTTACACTACAAGGACCAAATTCTAAGAGGAATAGGAAAGGAATCATAAGAGGAAAAAAAGTTTTCTTTTTTTCTCTGTCAATAATGTAATGAATTGATATTCAGACCCCACAAACTGAATATTCGCCATAAACCCGAATCATCCGAGGAATTCAGATTCGATGAAATTGGTCGTTTAATGCTACAGAATCGAGAAACGTTACACAGAATCTCTTTTCGACATTATGTACATAAAACCTGAAACTTCCGGTGTCATTAGAAATAAGAGAAATCGATTCATTGGTACATTACATTACGAGAAACGAATTCGTTTTGTTTACCCGAATAAAGTCCTTACCTTTACGACGAAACCCGTGAATCTACGGGTTTGTATTTGTTGATGTTGTTCTTGAAAGAATTATCGGGGAGATTTTAAAGGAGAGGCCTTTAAGAGTTTAAAAGTAGTAGCTTTGGTGGCTCGTTTTGTCGTCTTTTTGTTTTATGTTCTTCTGAAAAACACATCCCTAGAGTTTTCTTCATCAATATCAAAATTGAGAAAAAATTGCAAAAACTATTTCTTTTTCTGTGGTGTTATTTTTATTTAATTTTGTTTTTTTCCGCATAATTGTTACCAAGATAATGGATTTGGTATCGACTTTAGTCTTATTCTGTTTGTTATTTGTAAAAAAAAAAATACAAATTCTTTATCTTTTTTGTCACGTCGTCGGAAATTGGTTTGGCCATAAAGTGAAAAAAAAAACAATATACTATAAATTATCGTTATTGGAAAACCAATTGGTGAATCTCTATTTTCATGATATTTATTTTATTTTTATGGCAAACAAGTTGACATACAAAAATAATTAGGATAATTTACCCATTTGATCAGCTCATTAATCCAAAAAAACATCAAATATAAATTATTTAAGCTCGTAAATTTAGATTAGTGATATTATAACAAATCTAAAATCAAAGTTCTAGTGGAATGAGTTTCTCTTTTTATTAAAGAAACAAGTTTAAGACAACAACCAAACAAATGTGAGCGCCACCACATATCTTGGAGCCATTTTTTAAACCGGGTAAGTTAAATCGGTCCGGTTCAGTTCAATCGATTTCAGATGAACCAAAATCAGTACACATTCTATATGGGCCTCAAAAGTCCATAAATATCAAGGCCCATTAATTTTTATCTCATTAAGACATGAATTAATTGCGCACCTTCACACTTAAACCAATCCGTGAGCTTTCAATTCAAAGAGGGGAAAATCAGAAGCAGGAATTGCAAAAACCCTAGACTCCATACGAATCTCTTCAATTCCGCCATGGCAAGGAAGAGAAAGCTCGAATCTGAATCCAACGAGACGTCAGAGCCGCCGGAGAAGCATCAGCAATTGGAAAATGAGGATCCCGGAATCAGAAATGATTGTAATCAAGGAAACAGCGATGATGAAGGAGCAGAGAATGTCCACGAAGAGGAAGCTAAAGACGATGATAATAATACGGCGGATCCTCATACGGAAGAGGCGGCGACGTCGTCAGGATCTGGGGATGACGAAGAGCCAATCGAGGAACTCTTGGAGCCATTTTCGAAGGATCAATTGTTGATTCTTCTCAAAGAAGCAGCGGAGATGCATCGCGTTGTTGCCGATCGAATTCGTATGGTGGCGGATGAAGATCCTGTTCATCGTAAGATCTTCGTACACGGATTAGGTTGGGACACTAAAGCAGACGCACTTATCGAAGCTTTTAAACAGTACGGAGAGATCGAAGACTGCAAATGCGTGGTTGATAAGATCTCTGGGCAATCCAAAGGTTATGGTTTTATCCTCTTCAAGTCAAGGTCCGGTGCTCGTAACGCACTTAAGGAGCCACAGAAGAAGATCGGAACTCGTATGACCGCGTGTCAGCTAGCTTCCATTGGACCTGTTCAGGGAAACCCAGTCGTTGCTCCTGTTCAGCATTTCAATCCCGAGCACGTACAGAGGAAGATCTATGTAAGTAACGTTAGCGCGGGCATCGATCCGGAGAGACTATTAGCGTTTTTCTCGAGATTTGGAGAGATTGAAGAAGGTCCTTTAGGGCTTGATAAAGCTACTGGGAGACCGAAAGGTTTCACTTTGTTTGTGTACAAATCCCCTGAAGGTGCCAAGAAGGCATTGGAGGAGCCACACAAGACCTTCGAAGGTCAAGTCTTGCATTGCCACAAAGCAAACGACGGGCCAAAACCGGCTAAGCAACATCAACATCACCGTAACTCTCACAATCAAAATTCACGCTACCAAAGGAACGAAAACACTGGTTACGGTGTACCTGGAGGTCATGGACATTTCATAGCTGGTAATCACCAAGCTCCACAGGCGATAGACCCAGCCATTGGTCAAGCCCTCACAGCTTTGCTGGCATCTCAAGGTGCTGGATTGGGTTTAAACCAAGCATTTGGGCAAGCTTTCTTAGGGACAGTTAGCCCGGGAGCTGCAGCTGGAATGCCAAATGGCTTTGGTACTCAAGCAAATATCATACCAGGGGTCTTTCCTGGGTACAGTCCCCAAGCCGGCTATCAGGGCGGTTATCAGACTCCGCAGCCTGGTCAGGGCGGTGCTGGAAGAGGCCAGCATAGTTCAGGCTATGGTCCTTACATGGGTCATTAGATGTAACCACTCAGGTATACTTCTGCAGCTCCTTTTCATTTGTTTCATGGATTATGACCCTTGTCTAAAGACATGGACTTTTTGTTGAAAAAAATGTGCATTGCAAGATCATAGTTTTGTAAGTTAATGTGTTTCTGTTGTTTGTTTATTTGCCAATATGTTCAATTAAGTTTCAGCTTGATGTTTTACAGTTGAGCTTATGCATTATTGGTGTGACAAACTCAGGAGTTTGTTGTTTTTTCTGAAGGGTGTTCAGTTTCGCATCAGTTTATATCGCAAAAGTTTTCTCTTATTTTCTCAATTCATTGTGCAGATATTCCAAAACAGTCTTTTTAATATTGGCCTGGTGAATCTTCTGAAGTTGTTAAGGAGCTGATGCAAATGGAGTTGTTTAGTTTTTGGATGATAGGTTTCTCTTTCGTTTCTCCAAAGGCCATGACTCTTCAAATCTTTCAAGATGCATTAGTTTTCCCCTTCTAATTTTCACAACTTTCTTATGATATTCCAAATAAACTGCTCGTATTTTACTATTATCGGCTCTGTTTTAAGTTTTTTGTGAACGTTTTTATTTGTAAAAGTTAAACGGTGTTCTTCATGGCCACACAAATGCTTTCGTTCTGTTTATATTGGCCTCTTCTATTTTTCTCTTAATCAGACTCTAGATTTTATTGCTTCTCTCTATTGTGTCGCGATTTTGCTGTGTGTTTTTCCCTGCACGTAAATTCCTCTTTAGTATTTTGGGCATGTTCTGTGAGTCTAGAATCTTAGCAGATTATCCCCATACTTTGACTATACGTCTATACGAATCAAATGAATGTAAGGATAATCTTGATTCCGCATGTTATATTAGCTTAATCCTTATCCCTCTCGCAGGTGATTTTTGACTGCAGGTTGAATGATCAACGCTAATGCGCAACAAAATTTCTGCAGGGTAAACACTTACCAATCCCAATACCTTGACGTAAGTTTTGAATGCAGCATATTTTACTGGCAAATGAGAAGGGAAGAAGCTATGAATTAATCGTTTTATAACTACAGATTTAAACAAAAGTTGTTTTCTTTTTCTTGTTAAGCTTCATTAGGTATCTGCCTGGCCCCTTTAAACTTGACTTGTTTCAAAAAGTCTTCTCCTGCATCTTTCAAGTTTTGCACATGTTTGTGTTTTTGAATTAGTAATATATGAAAGCAATAGGATACTAGGAATGTTACAGACTATTTCACCACAAGTCTCTTAGATAACATTTGAGCTGAGTTTGGTTACACAGCTGAAACTGGTGTCTTGCTGTTGCATCATGGGTGCTCTGGATTGCCCTCCCAGTTGAAAGGTAAGTCAAAACTCGTAAGTAGCACCTTATACATTTGATGTGCACCAAAACTCCGCTCAAAACTTCTTGCTGATCTTGAAGTAGCACCTGGTAGGTTTCATTTTTCATACAATGAAGCACTTGTCCAACTACGTTTCCCCAAATTGATGATACCTTCTTTTTTTAAGATTGAGATATATTCTTGCATGTGAAGAAATTGTTCTTAAATCTAGAACCATTGTTGAGGAATGAAGCGTGTTGGTGTTTTGCTTTGCTTTTTTTTTTGTGTGTGTATTGAATCAGCGCTTCACGTGGGTCTTTAAGAACCTGAGTCACAAATGTTAAATAACTTGAGATGACCATAAGTGCAGAGTTTCTCTTTTTACAACACTTGGGAGAGTGTGTTGGTGTTCTCTCTGTGACAGGAACAAAACGGCCACACTGGATCATCATCGTCATATATTGCCATCAAATATCAGAGGAAAGTATACTAATTTTCTCCATTCCTTATACATTTGATGTGTATATTATTTGG